ACGACGACGACGACGACGAAGGCTCGAGCGTCGACTGTGAGGACGTCATGAATGTGGACCTGAGCGAGCAACACAATATCAATGAGCGTTCAAGTCAGCAAACTAGCGATGTGGACTGCAGTGGAGGTCATGCTAGATCGCATGGCAGTGTCAACTCATCTGAAACGATCCTGGAGCTCTTGTTTGGTGTTTGCATTTCGTTATGTAAAGAGCGTCCGATTGATAGTCAGCCGAGTTCTATGATTCTTCACTTTTTCAGTGGCATCTTAGGGTTCTCCAAGTCTCTAGATGCCTTCCTTCCTGCAAGGTCGTTTACATCGCACTTGTCGGCACTTATATACATCCAGCGACTGCTCTTTCTTGAGTATGCTCTCCCACTGCGAGCATATCCATCACTTGGAATCCAGCACCGGCCTCGCACTCAACAAGTTGAGCGACTGAACTCCATTCGCAAATCATACATGGTCATAGGCTCAGAGTCTTCCTTGGAGGAATTTTTCACCCTTCGGAGCTACGGTCGAGTAATGGCCCGGTCTGACACGCCGTCCTTTCTCCCGCGATGGAGTGAGGATGGTCAATCAGTACACTGGGGGGAGTCGAGTAAACTGACTATGGACCAGTTCCGGCTACTTCTGAGGCGACTGATTGAGCAAGCTGCCGAAGTCTGTGATGAGCCTCTATTCGGTTTAGAATGCTCCGTGGATCTCTCGAAAATTAAAGATGAAATAACTAACAGCAAAAGAGGGTTCTCGTTTGTTACCCACCCAGAGAATGGTCTTGTGGAGGAATATCTCAAACTGTTCCGGCGTGCATGCACTGCAAAGCATGGAAACTTATCATCGCCCAAAGGGCAGTGGAACTGGAAAGCCGTGTGGGCATACCTCGCGAAAGAGAAACGATTTTGCATTCTACTTGCCTTAATCAGGTACTTGTCTGGGGGACAATTACCGAGGTGGTCGGAGCTCCTCGATATCTGGTGCGTTAATGGCGAGTTCGTGGAAAGGAGCATTTATGTATACAAGTCGATGATACTGTATTTGATCCGCCACCACAAAGCCAAAGATCAGCGAATAATTAGTTCAGCGTCGCCCGTTTTCTACCGGCTGAAGCCAGTCGACTGGTGTATAAATATCTTGCGATTATACGGCCATTCATTGATCTAATTGGTCGAGAACGCAATGGTAACCAGGCGGAGGCGATTTATGCCACCTCACCTTTGCTATTCCGAGCTCATATTGATTCTGGGAGCAAGCCTCTGGACAGCGCTCAAGTCAATGCGGCGCTTCATAAAAAGGCCTTCCCCCTCTGGAACGAAGCTGTCAACTCCCGAACTTTGCGTCACATATGTATTGGCATAACAGAGAAGCATGTACGAGAGGTATATCAGCCATTCAACAGATTTGACGACAGATCTGACAAGGCGTCTCGAAATATGGTGTTTGCTTGGCAAAGTGGTCACCGTCCGTTACTGCGAGGTACAACATACGGACTTGATGGTGCATTTCCGACGACTCTACAGCCACAATTGCTAGAGCTGTACAAATGGGCTTCAGTTCGGTGGCATGAGTTCCTTCAGCTACC